ATCTCAAAGGAATTGGTAATAATGCAATTACTGATTCCAACCCTTTAGCTAGTATTGTACCAAAAGCAAATGAAATTGAGGAAGAGGACGAATATAGTGATGATGATTTGAAAGAGACTTCCGGAGCTAGAGATCAGTCAGTAAAACCTTCGTCATCATCATCTCTTCCTAAATTTAATTTACAAATGCCATCGTTACCTGTATCAGAGAATACCTCATCAGCAAGAAATTCTTCGGCAAGAAACCCAGCATCATCATTTTCACAGAGTGAATCAATCCTACCTGTAGATTTAATAGTTCCGAATTTATGTACAGTCAATTTAAGCAGTTCTCAAAATATTGAAAGTGTTCTCACACAAATTGAGAGCGATCTAAACTCAATTAAGCGCGAAGATTTAGAATTATTTATTTTAAAACCTGTGGTATCTATTGAAGATATCAAAGATGCTAATTCTCTCGTTTGCAAGACAAACAAATGACCTGTAAGTTGATCAATTTGAATACTCACCATTTATTACAAATTTCCGTAATTGTCAGTCAATGTGGCAACGCTTCCTCTTTGTCTAAGCAAAACCAGGAGCTCAGAGTGAAACATGATAAAACCAGTACTGCTCTTCTCAATCTTTCAAAAGAAAACGAAGAAATGAGAGCACGAATTGAGGAACTTGAAAAACAAAAAGAAGATGCCAGAAAACTTGTTGAACAGCTGCAAAATCAGTTAACAACATTAACACAAAACATGTAAATTACATTAATTATTATTTCTGAACTTTATATAAGCATTGGAAAGGATAATAAACTCGTTGGACTCGTCTTTCCTCTTGATAAGGACAATGTTTTGTGAGTGCCCTGGAATTGATGGAAGCTGCTGGCTCGACTCAAGCGTAATAAATCCAATACCGTACTTCTTTCCTCGCAAGAGAGAATAGTTTGCAGAGGTCACAAATCCAATGCATTTTGCTTCGATCATTGACTTGGGAATGGCATGCATTTTTGCTTCAAGCTCCTTGTTGTCCTTGCTAGGTTTTGCAAGTTTTGTTAAGGCTATAATTTGTTGTTGATTGGTAGGTACAAAAATCATGTCATAAGGTTCCAAACTTCCTCCCCAAATTCCAAAAAGCTGTACAGGTCTATACGAAGATAAAGGGCAACTCAGCTGTTGAATAAAGTCCTCCAAGTGTTCGTTCTGGGCTACAACGTCTCTTTGAAATGCTTGGCTTGAAGGATAGTCGTTTGGAAATACTCGCTTGCCTTGCTCTAGGAGAAGCCTGTCTCTGTCAAATATTGGAAGTGCCATGGTGTTTTTTTGTTCACTGAGCTTGAACCATACATGAGCAGAGACATCAACAGTGGGTAATATGATATCAAATCCTCCTCCCATAGAACTTCCATTGTTGAGTGATGATGGTTTTTGAATGAGAAGAATTGGGTACGACCTTGGTCCTTCTGCGCTTTGTAGTGGATTGAACTTTTTGCTTGTTCTCTTATTTCTTTTTAGATATGGAAATTGATATCTGGCTTTACATTCTTTTTGATTCCAAATTAATGCAATATCATTCATACGATCTGGCACATATACCATGGACTTCTTTTGCAAGCTATTGAGAGATTTAGCATTGTCCTTACTGGATGATTGCGAAGATGTATATGATAACGATGGTGCAATAGCAGTTGCAATTAGCTGTGATTCTTTCTTAAAATCCTCAAAAGTAGTGTTAAACGAAGAAGTATAAATTGGATGTTTAGCCATGAAACTAAGGACCATATCTACTGGCAAAGAAGTAGCCATTTGAATATCTGTTTTCATTCTCTCCATTCTTTTGAAATTGTTTTAACATGACTTTCTGATTTAGTGGCTTTCAATTCATTGATGGTATCTTCAATGTGTATCCTGACTACGTTTGATATGACTTTCATTGTTAATGGGCCTCTAACTTCAAACCTAGATAAATCGTTTCTGTGATAAATATCTCCGTTTAAATCTTTTACCAGTTGTTCTAAATGTCGATAGCCTTCTGGAAGCGATGAAGGGTGTATCCAAATCATAATTGATTCCTCTGAAGCGCCATTGAATGTCACAGTTTTTGGCCGTACTAAAAATTCCACAGTGGAAATTGTAAAATTGTGCTTATCTTTCCACTCAAAAGATCCTTCTCTCTTTCCAACGAGATAATCATTATGGAACAATAACGATGAATCGATGTGAATATTCATCATAGATTTTAGCAATTTTTCCACATTTCCAGCTGTGTTAAAATCAACTTGTAAGCACACCATATAACTCCTCTCATGAATTGTGCAATGTCGTCGAATATATCTATATCCATTTCTAAATATTTTATCTGTAATATGCTTCACAGGAAGTCTCATTCCCCATTTATCCTCCATTTTCATTCGCTTGGCATGAAATATATGTGTAGATAATCGAAAAGCTTTAGTATTGGCTTCTCCATTTAAAGCAGGTAACTGTTTCACATTCACTACAAAATCTTTTCTTTGTTGTTTTCGTTTCATATCTTTCCTTCTCTTTCTTTGTCGAACCCGTTTTGGAAGATTCATTTCTCTAATTGCAGCATTTCGTAAATGTCTCGGAAGAAGATGAGGAACCTTTGACATGGCTCTCCTTCTTAAATGTCTTGGTAATCTCTGGAATACTCTAGCATTGGATGATGATGTTGATATTTCTCGTTGTAAAGTAAAAGTTCTTCTTTCCGAGCCTAAATCATTCGGAATAAATTAAATATTAAATTATTGTACACAATTAGATGATCACCTACACTCAAAAGAGCGATGGATTGATACTGTGCACAGCCTCCAAAGCCTTGAAAGTGGTTGCATTGTTCGCCATTTTTTTCGAGTTTTGTAAAAATCACTTTTGAAAGAAGGGTGAGAGTGATCAACGAGTTTATTTTGTCCTGGACCCACTTCTCGAGAAGTTCCTTCTTATCCACAATATGATTACACCACTAAACGTTCATTGGATGCTGAGGTAAAATTTGAAGATGAAGAGTTCGGGCTCTGAGGTTGTTGTGAAAGACTGGTAAAATGGGAATGTAATGGTATTTGAGTATGATGCATCATCATTCCAGTATTGGGGTCTGACATCAATGAATGAGCATATCGTTCCAACTGAACTACTTCTTCTAAAGGAGCTGAAGGACGAATGTCATGAACATTCTCCAAAAAAACCTCTGAATGAATGGGAGGAGTAAAATCAATGAAGGAACATTGGATGAAACAAGGTCGAAGAACTTTTCAGATTTTTGCCTTCCGTTTTTTCCTTAATAAACAAACCGAAATGATAGAAAAGACCAAGCAAAAGCCTGCCAAAAGAAATGAACCAACAAGACCAAGGATCGTTCCAATAATGGTTGGAAGTGAAATGTCCGTTTCTGTTTTCATGGTACCATTGGAGGTAGTTATCGAAAAAGCTGGAGGAGTGGATGGCAAGGGTGGTGGTGGTAGTGCAATTGTTGAAGAGTTTTCTTGAGAATTTGATGCTATTGGAATGGAAGAATTGTTCAATTTCCAACTCAAACGATAACGTAACGGACATCCTTCAGTAAAACCATTTACACATTGTAACCAAATGTATAATCGATCAATGGACTTGGAATGTTACGATAGGGTTGTTGTTGTTGAGGAGGTAATGATGTGGTATGAATGGTGGAGAAGGAGTGGAGCCGCTCGAAAAGGGCCATAAGGTCCATGTGGCATTGGAATTCTCATGGACAGAGATTATTCGAGGAATGAATTCATTCGAATTCATAATTTCTCTTCCCAAAGAAACAAATACAGCCACATTTCGAGGGGTAGAGGGGGAGAAGCATTACCTTGTGAAAGTGTTCTCATGGAGAGTTCCAAATTCCGAGAGTGATCATTCAGCGATTCAGAAGCAACCACGTCCACAACAATTTTCTCAATTCAAGAGGTGGTAATTGAATGGAATTGGAATCGGTCAACCAGTCCGAAGATTGGTTGTTGCTGAATAATACCGTGTAAGGATAATAAATTTCCTCAATGTTCACATCCACGATGGAGATACGAGCACGATTATTTTTCAAATCCAATGAATCCTCCAATGTTGGAATTTCATCAAAAGTATTGTTGTCGTTACCTCCTTTGCTGCTGCTTGTGTGTGAGCATGGATTGCTTAATACGAAAAAGTATTTTTCATTACTTGTTTTCTGATTTTGCATGAGTAAGTAATGAGTTTGATCGAAATTCTTGAACGGTCCTGACGTGATGGCTGTATAGAATCGAGAGGTTGTAGCATCTTGAGTCAATTCCACAATTTTATCGCTTCTCAAAATTCCCATGGTGACGTTCGGTCCTTCTTTCACTTGAAAATGAAGATGAAAATGGCCATACGAGTACTCGGTGGGGTGACGCCAATGAGAACATTCATGAATGGCATAACTGCACAAAACTTGTGTGAGAATAATTGTGAAAGAAGAATATCACCACTTGCCACACAGAGTAGTTGGAGTAAAGCCATCGTGGAACTGAATCGGCCTGTTTTATGTGAGTTGAACCAACTGGTTGTATGACTCTTGTTCATTTTGTTCATTGTGATAAAGTAAGTGGACGTGTTCTCGTGGAGGTAAATCTTTTTGTCATCATAATGTGTTGTCATCCAACACAATAGGTTAGGAGGATTTTTCTTAATTCATGCAATTTGTCAATTTTGGGATGTGAATTGATTTGAAAAGATACCTATCGAGTAAGTTGATCTCAGGTCAGTATCCATGTTGCAAGGAGTTAAAAATAATAATGATTCAATGAGTTTACTTCTTCTTAGCACCTCCAGCAACGTTGAACTTGAAGAAAATAATGTCACCATCCTCTACTTCATAGACTTTACCCTTTTCCTTGAGCTTTCCGGCATTCTTGCACTCAACTTCGCTTCCAAGTTCTTTAAAGTCCTCGAATTTCATAACTTCACAGCAAATGAAGCCTTTTTCGAAATCAGAGTGAATTTTACCAGCAGCTTGTGGAGCTTTTGTTCCTCGCTTAATTGTCCAAGCTTTCACTTCATCCTCTCCAGCAGTAAAGTAGTAAATCAGGTCAAGAGTCTTGTATCCACACTTGATAATTTCTGGAAGCTTGGAAGTCACTCCCTTCTTAATGAGCTCTTGTCTTTTCTCTTCATCAGTTTCTTGCCATTTCTTTTCGAAGGCAGCGCTGTATGGAATGACGGCTCTGGTTCTCCTTTGAATTAACGTACTCTCTGATTTTGATAATGTATTCATTCTTTTCTGGTCAACTACGTCTTTTGGAGTCATATTGACGAGGTAAATCATTGCTTGCTTGTCAACAATTGATGAGGATTCAAAATTTCAATTTCTTTTCCAGTCCAATCTCCGAATCTAACTTTCTTCCTTCTTTCAACATTGCAAGAGCCTTGTCAATGGCGTCTAATTCATCCTTCTTTTCTTTCTTTTGCTTAGCAAGCTTTTCAGTTGGACCTCTAATATTTTCCAAGTAAGCAATATCTTTTTGATCAATTCATTTTCAATAATCTTAATGTCTCTCACTGGATCAATACTTCCTTCAACGTGAGTAATATTCTTGGAATCAAAAGTTCTAACCATATGGAAGATGGCATCAACGGCACGGATGTGAGACAAGAAAGCGTTACCCAATCCTCGCCTGTTACATTGAACATTGCAGACGGCAAGGATTAATACGGAAATGCAATAAAAAAGTTGTTATTGTTATCCATAGTGAGTGATCCATTTCCATGTAAGTGCATCAATAATAATTACAGAAAATTGGGAATAATAATATCGAAGTGAAGGGTCATCACAGAATAATCACCGAAATCGATTTTCAGATTATTACAAATACGTTAATATCAAATCACAAGGTAAACAATGTAAAACAAACTTCGGAAGCGTTTTTGACCAAACCAGCAATATCAGTAACGTTCAAGACAGCTGGTACGTTATTGCTGGCTTCCAGTGATTCACAACCAGTCAAATCTATCATCAGGCACAGCAACACGGGAAGTACTTGGATCGATGGTACAGAAAGGAAGTTTTCAGCAGGTACTTGAGAGTTGGTCAAAATGTTGAAAGAAGGTTGACTTTCCAACGTTAGGAAGACCGACAATACGATTTGCAAGTTGCTACCACACGACCAAAGGCAATGGTTTTGCTTTCTTTCGAGCTACTCATTTTTTTCTTCGCAAAGACTTTCAAAATTGAATCATTCAAGAGGAGAATGAAATTGGTGCACATACCGAGTAGTGTATGAAGGAGAAAAAGGATAATGGTCTTGTTTTTATTTAATACCCTTTATTACGTGGAATCCCACATTCAAATTGCAATTGACAATCATCATCAACAACACTCGTGAAGAAGATGAAATAAAAATTCAAAAAAAATGAACGCCAACACAGAATCCTATCGTTTGTGGAGAATTAGACGGACCGTGTTGCAAATGTTGGAAGATCGTGGGTAACATGGTCATGCCTGATGAGAAGAATGCCGATATTTCAGAATTTGAATCAAAATTCTGTAATGCTCCAGTAAATGTTGGGCAATCGGGACAAGCTCGCGGTTATTCTTCGGTATCCAGAGAAAAATTAACTATTGTTACATCAATGACTGATGATCCTTCCGAAATGATTTTTGTTTTCTTCCCTCCAGAAAAAGCGATAGGTATGAAGCAAATCAAGGATATCCACTCAAAAATGAAAGAAAACAACGTAAAGAGAGCTATCCTTGTGTTGAGACCTGCTGACTCATTCCAACACAAAGATCTAAGTTCACAAGCTAAAAAGCTATTGAAGCTATTCAATCAATCGGATATATTTTGGAAACCTCAAAGAAAACGAACTTTTGGTAAATATTACGGAACATGTGCTCGTTCCAAAGCACGTTCCACTCAACAGCTCTCAAAAAGATGACTTGCTGGCAAGATACAAACTGAAAGAGACTCAATTACCTAGAATTAAGATTACAGATCCAATTGCCAGGTACTATGGTCTTCAAAGAGGACAAATTGTGAAGATTATTCGTGCCTCAGAAACTGCAGGAAGATATGTTACCTATCGTTATGTTGTTTAAGCTATTTCAATGACATGTATTCATTCATTATTATTATTACACGAAACATGACGATCAAAACTTCTCACTCCTCTTTCTAGTTATAAGAGATAGTAATCTGCTTGTAATCAACCTAAATTAATTATTTTACCAACCAATACAACCCTTAAAACTTTTAGATCCTTTGTTTGGATTCTTATCTCCATCTCAACAAGAATAAAATGCAAATGCCGTCAAAGGGAAGGCTCATTTCATCATCGTCATCCCTCAGCAAACCACCATCTTCCATAGACCCCATTCATCATCAACCACAAAACGAAAACGGCAGCACGAGCATGGATTCATGACCAACATACAATCACATTCAATGAATAGAAACGCAAATAACAACTTGCAAAGTCTTTCCGAACAACAATATTCAATTCTGCCCGAAAAATACAATTATTCATCTTCAGCCATACCGTTCCGAGAGAGTAAGGCTGTTATTACATCCACAAGCATTCAACCTCACCAACATTCAACATCTTCAGATATAATTTCCTCTCGACTCGTCATCAACGAAATGTAAATAACAATAACCCATCTCATAATTTACGACACCGAAATCAAACCACCACCAAATGGAAATTTTAATAATTTATTCAGATCCGAAACAACAACACCTTTTTCTTCCATTCAAAATATTCAAATGTAAATAGTTACAGCTTCATATACGGATGTTGCAAATTCATCGGTAAAAAGAGAACAACATCGAAGCTCAATTCAAGTAAAATTAAGGCTCTTTCTAAAAGCTTCAGAAAGCAAAACGGTTCCAAAATTTGTTCAAATTCATTCACAAAAGATGGACCAAGATCCTCTCCAAGAAGGCATACTCTACATGTGGACGATCCAAAGCGACTACGTCCTTCAACATGCAAGACATCAAGTGATGACAAAACTCAACCATACCCATCCCTGTTCTGTCTCCAACAACTATTGAGGTAGTTCAGAGCTTTCAGACAAATATGTAGCAACCTCAAAACGGAATAATAATCGAAAAGTGTCCACTGCATTTGTGGCAAAGTTTGTGGAAATTGAGAGAAAGAAGAGACAAATGAAGGATATGAATCAGCATAAAGAAATGCAATTGGAGATGAGTAAAAATGCAAAGGAAGAAAAAGAAAACGCTGTTGTTAAAGAAACTATCGAGAGAGCTTGAGGAACGCCTTGAGTCCATTTCGCAAAAATGTCTTTTTTGGAAAAGCAATCAACACCGAGACAAGGAGCTCATTCAATTTTACAGAAATCGAGAACGTCATTTCACGGGAGGAAAGCCTTCAAAAGCATTAACAAGTTCCTTACTATCATCCAGTAATAGCTCCATGAACAATAATCCATCTAGCAGTGAATAATTTATTCGACAGCCCGTAGTTGACCCTTTTGATCTCACCAAAATGAGTCCTCCTAAAGGAGTCAGCTTTCAAAGCATTGTTTACTATTGAAAGTGTTTGTAAAATAACTTATGTTTGGCAGGTTCGTTTTAGCTCGAGAACATTAAATGCGACTTATTCCACATAATCGTCATCATCTTCATCATCGTCGCTATCTTTTTGCTTAACTTTTTGTTTGATTTAGATTTCTTAGATTTTGAACGAGAGCTGCTTTCAGACTTTGAGCCAGATCCCATGGAGGGTTGTTCGCGCTCTCTAATTTGCTCTTTTAATTTTTCTGCCATTTCAGTTATTGCTTTCAAAGAGGCTTCTTCTTTAAGAATAGGAGCATGTTGTTCTATTTGAGCCGACACAGAAGGTCTAAATGAAGATGTTTCCACTACACTGGTGGTTGTAGCACCAGACTTCCTCTCACTTGTTATATTGTCATCGTCGCTATCAGACTCGTGTTTCAGTGATGCTTCTGTTGCTGTCTTAATTTTCTTGATTGTATTTTTCACATTCTCTGTGTTAGTTTTGAGAATTTGTTCAAATTGTTCATTTGGATCGTAGAATAATAGCTCTTCATATTGCTCGGAAACAAATGGTTTTCTTTTTTTGATTGCATTGTCTGATGGAAGTTTTAAATCATATTGTAATCGTATGGGATCAAGACCGCTGGAGGAATGAAAATGGATGTCAATAAAAAGAGGGAATTGTCCCCAACCTTCTTGTTCAGTTTCAAATGGAGGTTTTGTAATAGTAACTACAGGCGGATTAAACGTTTCATGAAGATGAAACACAACTTTTGAAATATAATTTAAATCATCATCCAATACAAGACCTCTCACATAGCAGACCCATTTACACCATAAACGCTCAGTATCTTTCTTTTTAAGACCTATTGCATAGTTTCCTAAAATTATAGGTTTAGTAATAAGTATTGGATGCTTTCTTTTTGATCCCGATGTTTGATCCGATGAAGACTTTCGTTTTTGAGAATTTTTCTTCTTTGTGGGTGTTTTCTTCTTTGAGGGCATTTTTTTTAATTGTAGTTTGCATTAAAACAATAACACTTTCTGAGGAAGAGAGCACATTTAGAACTCATAGAGCACATTTCTGGCGTTCCCAACTACCACTTCGCTGGTGTAACATTCCTTTATTTGGTTCATTCGGGCTACGTCTCAGTGTTTTTGTTACATTAGCTTTTTGTTGTTCGCCCAGCAAAAGCTGCTTTGTCTTTGTTGAAGGACAAAGGCTTCTGCTGGAGCTATAATGAATAATAAAACGACTTGAGGTATGTTGTTGTGATTAGAAAAATACGGTGTAATTGTGGTCGGAAGAAATAAATAGGTGAACAATTTTAAACGTGTTCCAATTTTTGGACGAACTTTTTTTGTGATGAAAAATGCTTGACATTTTATTGCATGTCTTGAGACGAAGCCACCACCTGGCTCAGCTGGGAATACGAAACGAGGTTTTTTGTTTTCTTTGCAAATACGTAAAAAGGAGGTGACAACAACTGATAATTTCCAACAATCACAGCAATTTGTTTTTGATAAAGCTTGGTGCTGGTTGTTGATGAAAATTGTCCAATTAATTTAAATTTGAATGGATCCGTCTGATTTGGTGCCACAAATATTTTAAATGAGTTAATTGGTTCAGAATGTCGAGATGCATTTTCATTTTCTCATTGAAATTGCGAACCTCTACGGTTGCATTGCTCAAAGAAATATGATTAGTCTTAATTTCAAATTCTACGGGCTTTTTAAGCAAAAATGCCGCAATATGATTTTGAGCATGAATTAATGAGTCGTGTGTTTGAATAATGGTAAAACTGATGTCGTCGGTTAATGTAAGTCGTTCTGTTAAGTTTGGCAAAACTTCACTTGTTTCAATATGGAAAACAGGAAGTGAAATGTTGTAGTAATTGGAAATGCTTGTCTCCATGAAATCGGTGGCAAATCCGGCCCTATAGTCATGTCTTGACTGATGGTATGATTGACGGATGGAGTTGACACGATGTTGTAAACATCGCAATTGTAAGTCTTTCGCACAAATTAAATCTTGATCTGTAAAACTATAAGAAATGGATGTCACGCTTTCTCTAGCTTGCTTTCTTTCATTATTAAAGTCAACAAATTGTTTTTCAGTCATTCTCATCAAAATTTGTTGGTTAATTTGACTAGGGGCATCACAATATTTCCTCTTTCTATCGTTATTGTATGAAAGATATACACATTCTTTTTTCACTAATTTGATTTTCATGTTTGAGTAACTTCTATGATAGTCCAATACTGTGGTTCTTTTTGAATAATCACGTGACTCTCCGAAAAATCCTTCAAGAGAACGTGTTCCCAATAAAGACAAATCAAAAACTGCATCTTGTGGAATAATTCTGATCAATTTCTGAATTGTTTTGATGTTATGGATAATGATGTTTTTTGTGAGGGTTCCGGATAATGTAAAATTATTATTCTTATTGGAAATAATGACGTCTTGGAAAACGGTATCCCACTCATTCAAATAGTCCAAATTTTCCTTAAGAACTTGCAACACTTCGTGCAAATTGTGTGAAGATGTTCCATCATGATTTTTGTCATCGTAAACATGAAATAAATCATGTATCGCTTTTAAGTACTTATAGAATCCTAAATATCGATAGTTGGTTCTCTCGTTCAATAATCGTAATTTTTCAAGTAACTGTAAATTGCATACATCACGTAATACATCCTCAGATTGATCATCATATTTGATAAACGAGCTCCGTTTAACTATTTTACACCACTCTAAAGGTTGTTGTCTATATATTTCATCGAGTGTGTTCAATTCAAATCGTTGTAAAATAGAACAAGAAATTTTGGTGACAGCTATGTCTTGATTGCTAAAATTTGCCACACACACTTTACCAATGTTAGTATGAAGGTTTCACTCAACAACGTAACACTTAATTCGTTGTCATTGCTGCTATGATAGAAAAAATGCCTCCAGAGTTAAAATTCCGTGGTTTTTTTCTTCCATTCAAATGAAATTGTGTCTTTGTCATTCACTATGAAGGAAAGTGGTATGTTGGTCGCTTGTGTTCTTTGAATAACAATTTTCATCAAATGGCAACCGTTTCCGTTGTCGTTGGAAGAAATACAAGCAGGAATGGCGTGCAATTTGAAGGTTTGGAGCACCTACTTTAGTGGCAACCGGATATAATTTTGGTCTCCCATTAATTGCATTCCTCATGTTTTTTGCAATGGTGACTGTAGCAAAAAATGATGTAGTTCATTTGGGCTCGATGTGAAATATTTGTAATTAGCAGACCTGCATCTGACACAGTAAGACGATGTTTCGAGTATATGTGTCACGAAA